GAATGCCCACTTCATCGGATGCATCCGACGAAGTGGGCATTCACCCACGAAAGCTTATGCTCCAATACATCTGTTAGTCTTAAAGGTGCCACAGGACTCTCTGTTGCTTTTTAATAGGAAGAAAGGTATTTCCTGGTTATACCTGGCCTGGGCGTATCTCACAGACTCCTCGTCCTGCCGTGCCTTCACCTCCTGGTGCAGGGCCTCCTGGAGCCGCTCCTGCATCTCCTCCAGCTCCACAATCCGCTTCCGCTGCCGCTCGGCCTCCGCCTCCTTCAGCACCATCTCAGCCTGCATGGAGGCACGAGCCTGGAGCCGTGGAGGAAACGGTGATCAGCATGGGCAGCACGTAGCCAAGCGCAGGGTCCTCAGCCCCCACCCAAATCCAGCCTCTCCTCTCTGTACTGCCAGGAAGATGGAGCTGAACATATTCCCCGCCACAGATGTTCCTTCACAGCCGGCTTGCGGTTCTATGGGGCGCTTAGAGACACATTCACCGGCCCTGTCCCTAGCTGCCCAGAGGGGTGGTGCCTATACACCTGAACCCTCTGCAGCAGCTAATCAGAAAATCCACGGCTAGGCAACAGGGACCTCAGCCTGCTCCCCAAAGATGTGACACTGCCACCCAGCAGGCCTTCCTGCTGAATTGGGAATGAACTGGGCTGCAGGAGACTGTCCCCATTGCCACTTGGATGTCCCAGCTACCCCACGATAGCGCCCCGGACTGCACGGGACTGTGAAATCAAAGTCCCGCATTTCCCCAGCCAGCTGGCTTTCGGGGCACTTGAATTTCAATCAGCCATTGTGAAGATGCACGGTGCAACTGCAAACTGAGCCCCTTCCGATGGGGAAAATGGAGGGGTGCCCTGCAGCCCTGGGTCTGAGAACTGCTCGGCAGTCTGGGGGCTAGAAAAACAGTAGCCAAGCTGCGGGGGAAGTATTGTGCTGGGCTTGAAAAGCAGGGAGAGCCCCAGTGCAGCCTCAAGGAGACGCAGTGCTGCCGAGGGGCCTTTGCCTGAGACGGTCTGTGTCAGAAGCCAGGAGCTGCTGCACACAGGGATCTGGAGTTTGCCAGTTAAAAGACCCAGAAGGCTACAACAGTACGACCCAGACTGCTACCAACTTCGGGAGCTCTGGTGAGTTACAAGGGAGACCAAGAGAGAAACTTTGTCCTGCTCTAATGGAAACCTCCCAGCATGGACGCCACCTCCCCGCCAACCTGCTCAGCCTCCTTCAGCTGGATCTCCAAGGTCCTCTGCATCTCCTCGTGCTGCAGCCGGCGCCGCTGCTCTTCCTCCTGCAGCAGCAGCTCTGCCTGCCGCTGGGCCTCCTTGAGCAGCTCCAGCTCCTGCAGCTTCCGCTCCTTCTCCTCCTGCAGCTGCTTGAGGCGCTGCATCTCCTCCTCCTTGGCGGCCTTCCGCCTCTCCCGCTGCTCCCTCTGCTCCCGGCGCTTCTGCTTCAGGTCCTTGTGCAGGGACTTCTTCCCCTCCGCTTGCAACCGGATCGCCGTCTGAATGGCTGGGAGGGAAGGAAGGAAAGGAAACTCAGCAGGGCCGCACCCGGCCGGGCCATAGATCCAGCTGCTGCAGCGTGCCAGCAGCCACATGGCCAGAGCATGGCCTCCTACGAGAATGAGACTGGGGGCCCGGCAAACAGGACTCTTGGGTTCTATGTCCTGCATTTTGACCCCTCTTGATGCACGTATGTCAAATATATCCACAGCATCCGAAGGGTTAATATGGCCATGCCACTGACTGTGTCCTGAAGGGTGCTGAGATCCATTTGACTTCAGTGGGAACTGTGGCCACTTAGCGCTTAACCGGATCAGGCCTTTGACCAACCTGTGCCTCAGTTTCTCAATCTGTGCAACAATCCTCATCTGTGTTGCAAGGGTGCTAATTACTTATCAGTTGTAAAATGCTAAGCATGGCAACTATATACACACAGCCCTCTTCGACGGAGCGGCTGTTTGCCATGGATTCTGAGTCAGTCTGATTAAAGTGACCTGGTTTGCAGCAACATGATGTTTGGAAAGTCCAGCTGCTAACTCCAAACGACTTGAAACATTTTGGAAAAAGTATTTGGGTCTGAATGCGGTGAAATTGGCACCTGTACCAGCTGATCAGGCACTAGCAGAATCCTGGGAGAGGTTTATAAGAAAAGCTGGTTAATACTAAAACCCAGCTCTTTCCATCAGTAGATCGCCCCGCTCTTTACATTATCCCCATTTTACAGATGGGGAAAGTGAGGCCCAGCGAGGGGAAGTGACTTGCCCAAGGTCACCCAGCAGCCAGTGATCAAGCCAGGAACCCAGGTCTCCTGAGTTCCTGTTCAATGCTCTAGACACTAGGTTGCAGTCTCTCACTTAGTTTGCTCTAAGTGGTTAGTTAATAAGAATCTCTCAGTTTCATCCCAAAGTGCTTCACCAATGGGATATACATGGCACCTAACACAAAATGTGGCCACCTCTGGGGTGGAGTGAGGCTGCTGATTGGCACATAGCTCACAAGCAAGGGAAGGGAACTCCAAAGGACACCAAGGGAATGTCCTACCCACCCACATGTAAGAGAGACAGAAAATGCCAAGAATCAGACTCGGCATTCCCCTCCTCCCAGCACTGGGCACAAGCAGCCAGCTCCACTGAAGTTAATGGGAGTTGCTATTACCCTGTGGAAAGAAACTGGGTCTCTGTTTTATGGGCCTGGGGCAGCCCTGCCAGGGGTGCTGAGCGTGCAGAGGTGCAGAGAGAGCTCAAGGGCAGAAGCTGCCTTTGCCACCCCAGGGTTTCATCTTTTCCTTCCACTGAAGCGACCCAAGAGCAAGAGGAAGGCAGGACGGTGAGGGAGGGTGGGCTGAGAGCCCGGCGTGGGTGCTGCGGCACAAACCTAGCGTCCACTCCTGCCGCTGCTTGGTGTCCGAGGCACTCATCTCATACGTGCGGGAAGAGGTTTTCACGCAGAACATGCATCTTTTCCCGTCCCGGTCGGGCAGGACCTACGGGGAGAGGGGAAGGCGTTACCGCCCCTGTACCTGGAATAGTGCAAATCCCCCCTGCGCCCACAAACCCATTCCCGGAATGGAGCAAATCCCCCCTCCCCTACAGTCTGGGACAGCCCCTCCAGCACAACTCCCAACCTGCCAGCCCCCCTCCTTTGGCCCAGGCAGCTCCCCACCGAATGCCTCTGTGCCCTTCCCCTAGGGCCTTTCCTTCTGGATGTAAAGGGGCAGGAATTACAAGGAAGAGAAACGTTTCTTTCCTCCCCCGCCTATGATCGGCCTCCCACAGTCCCTGTACAAATCGGGGCCCTGTATTAACCCCTCCTTTGCTGGACGGAAGCCTTTGGGGCAGCGGGATGATAAAGGGTAGCCTGGCACCCAGCTGATATTGCTAGGCCAGGTATCAGGAATGGACGAGCGTCCCCACCCCCACTGACGCACGCATGCGGCAGGTGGGATGTCAGGCAGCACACAGCTGGTTAACTGGTCTGCTGCTGCTTCATACGCTAGGACTGTCAGATCAGATGACCCTCGAGCATAGCCTTGTGTGTCAGTGATGTCACTTCAAGCCCCCGGGGGACCCTGCAGCAGCAGGCAATGCTGGAGTAGAGAAGCCAGCAGTAAAACTGATTGAAACCTGGCATGGATTTAGTGCTGGTGAAGGGTGCTGGACTGACCGCCTGGGAGAGCCAAGTCCTCCATCTATCCCACACATACAGGGCTTGACAGGACAAACTTCCCCCAAACAGGCCCCTGCCCAATAGGCATCTGATCAAGAGAGCTCAGTCTCCAGGGCCCATTCAGTCCTTGGCCCTTCTACAGAGACTGCCAATTAGTGCCAATTGTAGCGGTGATTTTTCGGTTGGGGAGGCCGGCTGGCTGGGAGCTGGGCTGAGAACGAGCAAGCTCATGTCATATAGGGTAAGTCTGCACTGCAAAAGGGTGTTCTTAGCACGTGTTAGCGAACTCCGGTTAAAATAGCAGCCAAGACACGGCAACAAGGCCTTGAACTCAGGTTAGCAGCTCAAGGCTGCCCTACATGCTGGAGCTCGTGCTGCTGACCCGAGTTAAAAACCAAGTGCTGCATCTGCCCTGCTGTTTTAACCCAAGCTAAGAACACATTATTTTTTTTCAGCGTGCTGAGTGCAGACAACCCAGCAGCCACCCTTGTGCCCTAGCCTGTGAAAATCCGGTTGGTTCTGGTTCTTGAACAGCGCCCGTCACCATGGGATCTGAGGAGCTTTTCTAGCCTTGAGTTGCCATGGGACTCCTGTGTTGACGGAGGTGAAATTGGCCTGACTGTATGTTCCCTGCTCTCTTTCCACAGGCACTGCCTGGGGTCTATCGCGCACTGGAACAGTAGCACTTGGGGTGTGCACACCCGCTGGGGAGACAGGGAGGAGCTGTTATTACACCAATGGCCCAGCACAGCTTCTCTCCATCGGAGCCCGGCGCAGTTACCTCCACGCAGCAGTGTTTGTCCAAGGCAATGCTGCCTTTCTTCTCCTTCCGCTCCTCACTCATGTAGTAGGAGAGGGCGCTGGGCTTTAGTGTGAACCATCGCTCGGACCAGTTCCGCCTCAGCTGGCCCTTCTTCCAGAGGTAGCCCTGCGCCCAGACAGACAGAGGGGGTCTCAATCCAGGGACCGTGCCAGAGATCCCCTGCGCTATGAGTCCAAGGCGGGTTTTGCATCTGGCTCCCACCCAGGTTGTCTCAGTTTGCGCCCAGCCACCAGAACCATCTCGGTGCATCCGCACCTACCGTGCTTCCTACTTGTGCGAGTATTGTTGCATGCTGGGAAATCTGCTGGGCCCCGTCCTGTATTGCTTCAGGAGGGGACGGAGTGCCCAGCAGACATGCATGGAGCAATGCGCCCCAGGGTGTCATACTGCACACAGCTTGCTGGGAGCAAGAAGGACCTGCCAAACCAGTTCGACAAGCTGGGGACCCTATCCGCAGCATATAGAAACACGGCGTCTGCCAACAGCACTGCCACGTTACCAACTGCACATCAGCCATGGCGGGCATGGCCACAAGCCACGGCTAGAGCCGCTAGCTGGCTACAGACTCTGTTATAAGCATAGACAGGCTCTTTCCAAAAGGAAAGCCCAACGAACGCCTGTGCTCCTGAGCAGCCAGCCAGACACACAAGCGCTTTGTCGCTCAGAGGGATTTGGGAGCAGGTCTAAGACACAGAGGACACTTTTCCGTCTTCAGCACCTTCTATTCAAGACTCTCTCTGCTTCACCAACAGGAATTCATTGCGTGTCCCATGGGACAGGCGAAAGCAGTCTCCATCCTGCAGGTGGGTAAACTGAGGCAGCTTGGCCAGGGCTACATTGAGTGACTTGTCCAGGATTACACAATGGGAATGAGACCCAGCAGCCTTGACTCTGCTGCCCCTTGCTCTAAGCACTAGGCAATGCTGTTGCTACAGACAAACAATCAGAGATGCTGGCAGCCAGCGAGGGTCTGTGTTCTCTTAAGCAAAGTATTTTACATCCAAAAACTGGGCTGGTACCTGATAAGAAGGGCTGAGAGACTGCCTGGTTGTCTAGGGGTGGCTGCTGGAATGTCCTTTGCACATGCAGTTCCCGGGAGCTTTCCAGGAAGGATTGGGGCAGGAGGGGGCTCTAACCTCACCCCTCCCCATGAACTCAGCAGGTAGGGTTGTCTTGTAATAGCCCTATGACCTCGTCCATATGGAACTGGGGAGGGGTGGCAGATTGTTCCTGGGCTGAGAGGGAAGCACCCGGCTTTGCCCCGAGATGGGCAGGCCCCCACAGCCCCTGGGCTTAATAACATTATGTGGTACAGCCCATTTCTGGTGGGGATCAAAACCCAGCCGGAGCCCCTCTCCCAGAAGCTCATCTCCCAGGGTCCCTGCTAGCTCCTTGCCTGTTTGAGCATGTCCTCAATGACCTCCTGATACACCTCTTCAACGGCCATGCTGACGGCCTCCCGCTCAATCCCGCGCAGGAGCTTCCCCGAGTTCACCAGGTCCAGGAACTGCCAGACCGTCATGCCGCTCTGGTGTTGGGGATCCTGCGAGAGGTGGTCATCCAGCTCGCAGCAGTTCAGCTCCACATTCATGGCGGTGCAGACCTTCTTCAGCAGGTACTCCACCTGCAGGCGGGGGTGGGGTGCAAAGCAAGAGCCATTTCCACCTGGGAACCCCCAGAGACCTAGGCCACCCCCATTTCTACTCTGGGGAACCCCAGAGACCTGGGGCCACCCACCATTTCCACCCCAGAGACCCTTCAGGCCACTGCCACTCCACCCAATGGCCCCAAGGGAGTCCCCCTTTCCACCCCAGAACACTTAGAGAGAGACCTGGAAGCAACCCTATTTCACCCCACGGACACTCTTTCAACCCCAGAGTTCCAGAGAGCTGAGGGCACCCCCACCTCCACCCCAGGGACCTGGGGGAACCCCCATGTTCACTGAAAAGAAGTAGGGGAACCCCCATTTCCACCCTAGATTCCCCCCCAGACATTAGTAGCCCACCCCAAAACTCAAAGCAACCAAAAATCAGTGAGCAGTTTTGAAAGTGTTGGCCTATGATTATACTTAGCACAGTTACTGTTGCACTCAGTTTTGCTGAGTGGGAAAGAATTAAGTTGCTATTTCGGCCCCTCACTCACATAGCAATTACCCAACATGCACACACAACTGCTGACAATCACAGTGATACACAAAGTATTTTAAATTCTGTCTCTCGTGAAGCACCATCATTAGGTTTCAAGGTAAACACCCAATTTCAGATGATTGGGTGAAACTCACGCTGCTCAGATCTGGCTGTTTCAGGCTGCATGCAGACTCAGGAAGATAGAGTTGCATTGTCTACAGTCAGTTTGCATTTGGGATTTTTGCAACCGTAAAGACTAGAAACTTTTTTTAAAAAAAGTGTAGATTTTGCAGAATCTGTCACAGGGGCTAGATAACTACCTCAAATGTGCTAGAGCTAAGGCATGAGGCAGGTGTCGCATACCAGTGCCATAATCGCAGTGTTAGCTGGAGATTTCTGGGCCCCTTTCTGGCTGCTGTTGAGATCAGGGAAAGTTACTGTAAGAAGGGGGAGAGATGGTCTCCCAGAAAGTGGGTCAAAATGTCAGGAAATCACCTTGAAATGTGAAAAAATAAAAAATAAAAAAAAATAAAAAAGTGGAAAAAAACCCTCATCAGAAAGTTTTGGGTTTTGTTTGGTTATTTTAACTGAGGGTTTTGGCCACCTCTCATCTCCCAAGAGCTGAGCCGGAGCCGACGTGAAGGGTAGAGTTTGACATCCAGGCAACCCTGCTGAAGTCATTGTGGTTCAATTGTGGTGTAACCCAGGGCAAGGGATAGTGCCGACTCTGGATGGGATGCCCTTCCCCCGCTCCCAACAGCCTAACACAGAGGAGAAGGAAAAAGCCCCAATACCCTGCCCCCTTTATAAAAAGCGGGTGAACGCCCAGCCCCCAGGCAGCGCCACTCAAACTGAAAGATGATTCAGTGTGTTCAAGTCTGTGGAACAGGAAATACTTCTCTTGGGGAACAGGAAGTGTGCGTGCATACGCAGCAACCGCACAGCTCCGGTTTTTGCTGATCTAAAGGGGAGATGGAGCAAGAGCAGCAGCTGCGCGGTGGGAGCAGAGAGCGCCCAGCATGGTGGTATGACATAGGCCATTCTCACCAGCCCATCAGTCAGACGGGCAAGGCCAGGGCCAGACCATCCCCTTATTGCTGGCCAGGCCGCTGTTAGCTTTGGAGCCAGCGACGATGGGTTTGTTTTCTCCGCCTGAGTCTGTGGATTTGCAAACCACCTGATGGGGACTTTAGTTCTGCATTGGGAGACCATAGAAACCTCCCTTTCTTCCTGCGTGCCTCGTGGAATTTAGAGATTATGATTAGCCGCTTTGGCTGAGCGGCTGGGATTCCTCTCTTTTCATTAACCCTGCGGCATGCACACACATATCCGGGGTGGTCAGAGCCTTTCCTGCAGGCTAAAACACGGACTCCGTCACTCCGTCGCCGCCCACAGGGACCACATCCCAGCATGCAGTGATCCATCTGGATCCAACTATTTCATGCGGTGCAGGAGAATCTATTGACAAAACCCCCGTAAAGTTACTCATTAGGGAAGCGAAATGATCAGCAGCGTTCCCCCGACAGCACCTTGACCTTATGGGGTTGTGTGGCTTTAAATGTGCTGTGAGAGGCTTATTGTTCCACGTTCGATTTGGAAAGGGGGAGCAGCTTAGGGAGGGCACTGCAGGGTGAGAGTGCATGTCCGCACAGGCAGCTGGCTCCCATTCAGCCAGCCCCTGAGCGGGCACAATGGCAATCGCAGTTGGGAGTCCCTGGCACAGTCGAGGTCTCAGCTCCATTTCCATCCCCGTTACAAACCTGGGGGCTTGAAGCTACCTGTAACGGCAGCCTTTGGGCTTCCGTGTTTACAACTGACAGCTTTTGCTGCTCACACAGCTCCAGCACATGGTGCTGGCTGATCAGGCAGGTGCAATGGGAGCATGCCAGCCCTGTACCTCCACCCTCTCTGCTACAGCTGCATCCGCACCACGAAAGCCAGCTGGAGTGAAGAGCAAGCATCAGACATGGCTCAGCAAAGAGGGATTGAAAATGCATGGCCCCCGTAATGGAGGCAGGGCCAGCTGAGCTGAACATCCAGGGCAGCAAACCATCCGAGCCAGCCGACAGAACACATTGTCTCCTCGCACTCTTTCCACACCATCAGGCTATCCGTGCCGCCAGCAAGGACCTTCGCTACGGAGCAGTCCCCTGGGGAACGACGGCTGGCTCCTGCGAGCTGGTTCCACGGCTGCAACTCTGCCTCAGCTACTTCCCTTCCTCTTGGACACACAGTTCTGACCGACCTCCCTTCTGGCTCTGCAAGCAGTTACAGCCAGTTCTCAGATGCGAGGGAGATGGTGGCCACATAAGGAAACAGCCCAGCCTAGAGAGCGTTTCCCATACCGCTGCTCATAACAGCTTCACCCCTCTTCCTGCCCTTCGGCCGTCACCTCGTCACCCTCCTTACTAGAGCGGCTGCATGGGCTTAGTTAAACCTGCACCAAAGCCCTCTGTCTATCTACAGGACAATTAATGGAGATATCCTATCTCCTAGAACTGGAAGGGACCTTGAAAGGTCATTGAGTCCAGTCCCCTGCCTTCACTAGCAGGACCAAGTATTGATTTTGCCCCAGATCCTTAAATGGCCCCCTCAAGGACTGAACTCACAACCCTGGGTTTAGCAGGCCAATGCTCAAACCACTGAGCTATCTACGGGACAAACAGAGGACAGTTCTTCACCCCAGCCTGCCCAGGTGCGGAAGCCCCGTCCTGGAGGGACCCTCCTCTAAGCCCAAGAAAGGAATTCAGTCTCCACGACCCATTCAGCCCTTGGCCTCACCATTGGGACTGCCAACAAAGCTGGCACTTATTCTCAATTATAGCGTGGGGGTGGGAGTTTGAGATGTGATCTCCGGCCCCACTGAGACTGGTCTGAGGTGAAATAAACTAATTCCACACAGGCTGGCAAACAACTTTGTTAGCACTGATCTAGGCTGGAATTGAACTGGCGATGCTGTGGGGAAAAGCTCTCGCTTTCCCATACCAACCTGTAGCACTATCCCTTGCTGTAACGTTGCAAGGTAGATGTATGGAAGATGCGTCACTAGACCATATAGGATCACTGTGTTATTTGTCAGTCCAATACAAGTCTCTTGCACTTGGCCAGAGTTTTCCTCAGATAGGGGGAAGCTGGGGAACTGACTGCAAGTAAAACGACAAGACAAGGAGCTCCTACCTCATCTGGGACCATGACAAGAGGGTATTTGTCTTCAGAGAGGAAGTTAAAGAGACACCAGAGCCTGAAGGCGTCCTTATGGGACACGACACTGTTCCCATTCCGGTCGGGCTTGTAATTCTTCTTTGCCGTCAACGTCCAGCAGAGCTCATCAAAATCCTCCTTGACAAAAGCCCCTTCCTCCACCTGCAAACACACCCCGGGAGCCAGTGAAGGTGATGCCATGGCATTACAAAGCACTGGGAATAACGTGACAGCCTGCTACGGCGCCTGTCATCTCAGGAGTGCAAAGCGCTCCACAAACCCAAACTGCTTGTCACCCCCGTGAGGTAGGGGAGCATCGTCACCCCCATTTTACATTTTGGGAAACTGAGGCACGGAGCGGGGATGTGACATGCCCAAGATCACCCAGTATGTCACCAGCAGAGCTGGGGCTAGAAGCCAGGAGTCCCAATTCCCAGGCCCCTGTGCTACTTACTCCCAGAGCACTCTAACATGAACCCAGAGTGCAGAGCTGTAGGGACTCTGATACAGAATTGCTGCCTGTCGGTCTCTTACTAACACACCCAACACTGGAGTACCTAGGGCATCATGTTATGACACCTACCTCATAAGTCAGCCAGGCATGATCCTCCCCCTCGCAGACAGACCTGGCAATTCTGCCATTGCATCCAAGTAACAGAAGGCAGCATAAGATAGATAATAAACAATACCTGGCATTTACAGAGTCATTTCCATCCCTGGGTCTCAAAGCTCTTTATGCAGTAGGGTTGGTATCAGCATCCCCCTTTTACAGATGGGGAAACTGAGGCACAGAGCGGGGAAGTGATTCATCCCAGGTCACCCAGCCGGGCGGTAGCAAAGCCATGAATAGATCTCAGCTCTCCTATGTCCCAGTCCTGAACCCCATCCAAGATGTGTGATTTTTCAACAGCTGCCAGGCACTACAGCCCCTGGCCTAGCCCTCGAGGACACGGACCTGGACACGACCGTGTCCGGGTGCTTTCACAGCCGGTCGGTTTAGTGTGTCAGTGATTATTTCAGAACTCCATGACACACAGGGGATACCATGACAGTGACTATAACGGCTCAGTCAGATCTCACAGCTCTACAGTACTTTTCATCCAGAAGGTACTTTACAAACTGCGCGCAGCCACCCCCAGTGAAATGCAGCCACTGCTGGGGTGTGGGGCAGCATCCAAACAGCACACTGCCCAGGGGCAGGGTGGGAGGGAAACTTTTTGACTGTAAATACCAGGGCAAACCACTTACTCTTATCAAAACGCCCTCTCGGATCTTTCATGGCCATGCAGACAATAGCTGGGTTTTGAAATGTCTCCTCTGAAAGACCCACCCACAAGAAACTCAATTTATCTACTTCTGATGGGTTGGGCTGGCCTAGTCAGGATTCCAACCTGTGATTCCCTGGAGTCTATAGCAGGGCAGAGGCAAGGAACAAGGTTTAGCTGTCATGAATATAAACAAGATCCATCACTGGGGCTGCTGGACATAGCCAGAGCCTGCGGCTCTCTCTGGCTCCCTGACGGACTAACCGCCTGTGCTGCTTAGCGTTACTACCCAGGAGATCCCCAAGTCTTGGGCTAAGAACTCCTCAGATGGACAGCTGACTACATTGCAGAGGAGGGGCGTTTAATACTAAAGGCTTTGACCGCTACGCCATCCCCCCAGCTCTAGCAACACGCTTTGCTGTGTCGATTACCTAGGGTGAGATGCTGACACATGGGGCTATGCATTGCACAAATGAGAACCGTGGCTTCTTTTATTAACTGCAGCTCTGAACGGGCCAAGGCACAACCTAGGGCAATAGGGAGGCACCTCCTATGAAAGGCGAGATAGGGCGCACGTGGTCACAGGGGGCAGTCCAACCACCTCACCTTGGCACACGGAACCCCTGTGGCCCCCATTCTGCTCTGACTCACCGTGAGCAGTAACCTACTCCACCAGCTGGTGGCGCAATCTAGGGCAGGGCAGTCTGGCTATTCAGAAATTGGGGGGCAAGAAGGGGACGTGTTCAAGCACTAGACATGGGGCCCCCTTCTTTAAAGAGCACAGTTGAAGAAAGTTGCTAGTAACTTTACCTTTCCCCACATGCCCAGAGGAAGCAGCCCAGAGAGCAACAAGCCACAACGTTTCAGTTTAAGAAACAAAGATGCCTTTGAGATACAAGAAAACCCCAAATACCTGTCCCTTGCGGTGCCAACTTCTATTTTCGTCCTCCCTGATAAACCACCAAATGGGGTGAAAAAAATTCCTACTAAAGGAGAAAGGGCTGAGCTTTCTTGTCGGGTTTTCCACCGCTGAGTGTCTTGTCTGTCAGAGCTACGCTGCCCCTTCTGGAAACATTGACTCATGGTATGCAGGGAGGGCTGGCAGAGTGGAAGGGGTGACTTTGTTGGCAAAGAGCTGCCAATGCAACTACTAACATTCAGCGTTTATCTGTCTTTTGAACTCCCCCTCCCCCAGGCTATCGGGCGTAAAGGCCTAGCACAGGGTGGGCACTCACACCTGTGTGAAGAATGCCACCCGCAGGACGAGTGGGGAGTTCTGACTGGGTAGCATTTTATCTTACCCAGGTGTCAATGATGATAAGATGCAACGCAGGGTGAATTAAGGCCTCTGGTTGTCCTCTCTCTCAGTGTAACCCACCGACGAGCATGTGTTACAAGTCCCCCTCTGTGTCCGCTCCTCTGAGGATACGAATCCGTTACAGCCTCTTTAACTCAAGCTGTAACAGCTTGTGCTTTTAGCCCTGGAGGTGCCTGGTTCAAGTCCCGGTGTGTTGGCCAAGATGGTGGCCATCAGACACACCAACTCCTAAATCCCAGCCAAATTGTCCTTTCTTAAGGAAAAGACATTGAAGTCCACAGATGGGGGTGCTTTACAGGGATGACCGGCCTTGGCGAAGGGAAAGGAGAAGAATGAAATTTCACCAGCAACCAAGCAGACGGGACAAGGAGAAAGTGAAGGAGCTTACCTTATCCAGGATGTATTTGTTGAGGTAAGGCATGTAGCCCTGGCTTGATACCGGCCCGTCGTCATCATCCCGGAAATGCTCCTCCAGCGCCACTGGGTCATGGGGGATATGAAGCACCGTGTACAGGTTGTGAGAGAGCACCTGGCAGAGGAAGAAAACACAGATGCACTCTACAGCTTCCCGGCACAGCACTCCTTAACAACAACGAGCCTACAGCACTCCATAGGCACACATGAACAGTGACATGCAGACACCGACCTAGCTATCCAGGTGTGACTGAGCACTGTGGTATATTGGGGAATGTGTTGGAACTGCAAGTTATCACTTTAAGAATAGGGCGTTTCCTGGTTTGCAGGCTAAGGGGCTCTAGAGATGTGAGCAATCACAGACAGCCTGGTAAGAACCAGCCTAGAACAAAGTAGGATGTGTTGGACATCGCTGCCTTACGGAGCAGCCTGCTTTCTCTCTCTCTGTTTTAGTCCTTGTGTGTTTTTGTTCTGAATGGTAAGAGATAAAGTTGTGTTACATTGCAACCTTCCAACACGAGTATTGATAATTTTATCTAACTTCTCTGTATATCTGCTGTGAATACAAGTGTCTTTGTTTCATCTAAGCATCCTCATGTCCTAACAAGAAGTCAGTGATATGTTAATTGTTTAACAGATTCCCCAAAAGTATCCCAGTTTAGCCTGGGATAAACTCCCACGTTCCAAAGGTAGGTATAGGCTCCAAGGAGCAGAGGAAAGATCCGGGGCATCTCATCATTTATTCCCCCATTTAAAGCGAATCACATTTTCATCACGATAGTGAAGGATGGAGTCGCAGAACCATAGAGCAAATAAACTGACAGTGAGCTGCACTTGGCTGGAGTGGCTTAGAACTTGTCCCTGAAGATACACTGAACATATTGATAGTGATGTTTGATGGGTGTCATTTGAAATGGGGGACCCAGAGTTCCTCCCTTGAGAGTTTTTATTTTGAAATTCAGTTTTGGCCATTCTGAAGGACAGGGCGGGGGGAAATATGCTCTTCAGAGATACTTTGATGAGGTTATGCGCTTGTACCGAGCACAGTGAGATCCTGGTCTATCACTAAGACCCTCTTGGTGCTATAATAATACAAATAAATAATAATAATATCAGAGGGATGGGAAAGGCTGGATCATAATGCTGCTACTCTTAATTTGGTATATGCTGCCTAGATGCTATGGTGATGGGCATGTTAGCAATGCCTAGGTAGACAGACTTTGCAGCAAACGTAGGTGAATGCCTCAAAATATATTCTGTGGATGTTAACTCACATAAAACACTTCATTGGCTTTGGGTCCATTTGCATCTGTTTGTTTTCTGTGAGTGTTCCAATAATCACATTTACTGGCAGGAATACGTGCAGAAACAGTGAACTGGAGAATTTCCAATTCATAACCGACCCTATTTGCACCACAAATCATATTCTGATGCAAAAAAAATTTTACTCAGCCAATCAGGGCAGAAACGTACCATGTGACCTAGGCCTCCAATCAAAACTAACCAAAGCAGCTCAGATTCCGAATTTCAAACCTTCAAAAAGAACCATACTCAATTGAGCGATAAGATGAGTGTCAGTCACAGGCTCTTTTGTGGGGAACAGAGGCATTTTAGACAATCACATGCTGCCTACAGACAACTCCCAGATATCTTTGCTTGATGTTCTGGGACATGCACAGGGTGTGCAGTATGTGGCAGGCTGCATGGAAGGGCTAAGGGCCTTGGATATTAACCGAGGTTGTTAGCCAGCCTGGCAACAGGGATAGGGGCAGAGAGTAAGAGAAAGGGACAGATGACCTCCTAACACAGACCTTTGATGCACAGTTCCCCTCTGGGGCCTCAGTGAGTGCCCCACCCTTAGAGAGTAAATTAACTCCATGGGACTCAGTTTCCTGTGTGAGTCTCCCCACTGGTCTAGCCCCCAGTGCTCCTGCAGTGGGTGGGAAGAGGATGGGTGGGTTTGTTTGCCAAACGGTTTGCAAAGTGAATGCACAGAAACTGGTCAGGGCTGCTCAGGTGCCGGCAGCGCTGCCTGAAGACGGAAGAGCTGAGGTTAAAGTGCTGCACAAGAGCCCAGACCCTAAGGTGACTCAGTCTGCAGAGCATTACTGGGGTGAAAGGGGACATTTCCGGCCCTGGAGGTGGTGTCAGATATTGACGTACTGAGAGGGGCTGGCTTAGTTACTTAAGGCCAGATTTGTAAAGGTATTTAGGTGACACTGGGGGTTTCTGAAGGGCCTGGTTTGAATCCCCATTGGTTTGAATACTTTTGGAAATCCCACTGGGTGCCTAAATACCTTTACAAATCAGGCCCTTAGTCCCTGGAGCTGCAGGTTGAGATGCTGGCAGAACAACTCCACCCTTCATTCCACCAAAGGAAGGAAACTGAAGACCATGGAGTGAGGAGAACTGATTCCCAGGTCCACCAGTGACTCACATTGTGGGATCTTGGGAAAATCTCTTCACCATTCTGCCTCAGTTTCCACATCCATGCAACGGGGGTTGTATTTATTTGCCTGCCTCCTAGAAAGCTCTTGAGACTAAATTAATGGCTGTGTGTGAAGCGCTTTGAGATCCTCATGTGGAAGGCGCTAGTGGAGGGGAATGTGGATAGACCCTGGGAGTGGGTAGGAATACACCTAATAGTAATATTTATAAGCCATTACTAATATTCAAATATGCCTTTAAAGGGTGGACAGGCAGGGGAAGAGAGTTAGAGAAAGCAGCCAGGAGAGAGCAAAGCACATGCTTAATGCAGACTGGTCTGAGACCTCTCGGCTGTCTGAGACAGCTGGGTGAGAATGCTGTGGAGGGGTGTCCCACCAACACGGCACCTGGCCCTTTTGGCAAGGACGGGTGGCTGCTTGCCCATCTGCAAACGTGGGCATTCGCCTCTGTGATCCAGGGCATCCCTGGCCTGTCTGCTGAGACGGCCACCGGGGAGGTTAAAGAGCACCAGGGCTGGTGGATACACCATAGGCAACACGGAGGGAGAAGCAGTGATCTCGTTGCACAGTACAGTCGCCCCCGGAGACCCTGACTGAGAGCAGGGCCCCGTTGTGCTAGGTCCTGTACACACACCTAGAAAGAGACCATCCCAAAAAGAGTTTACGATGAAAACAGACAAGACAAAGGGTGAAGGGAAACCGAGGCACAGAGCGGGGAAGTGACTTTCCCAAGGTCACAGAGCAGGGTCAGTGGCAGAGATCCAGGTCTCCAGACTCCCCGCCTGGTGACCTGTCCACTAGATTCGAACATGCCTTCCCATTTACCAGTCCCCCGAGCCATACAGTCCCCCTTTCTACTCACAGGAGCACTGCTCACTCTGTGAAAGCACAGTGGATGGAGTTTCACTTTCAAATTGGCTTTGTTTAATAAATTATCAGTCTGAGGTTATACGGGGAGCTCAGCATTTGGAGCCTTTCTTGATCAATCAAATTCTCAACAACATATTGACTCCACCCAGCTTTTAAGCACAGTATGTGTGTGACAGCGACAAGTATTATGCTGCTGCCCAGGATTATATATTACAAGTACCTGGCACAGCACTCAGCTCAGATCAGGAGTGGAAAAAAACTGTCATTAGCCCCAGTGTCCTAACTAACTCCCAGTTTGGGTAATGAGATCCGGGCTTCCTAAAGATCCACCCTTCTCCCGCCTGTTCTAAACTACCTGGTTGTGTTGCTGTGTGCTGTTACACAGCTGCCACCGCCACCCTAGAGCTAGCTGCATTTTGTTGGTGGTGGTGGAAGCAAAACCTCTTACCTACCCTAGGTGTGTTGGGAAGCTAAATTCACTAGTGCCCAGAAAGTACTGTGAAGCCTGCAGATGAAAGGAGCTGGAGGAAGGCAAGGAATCCTCACTGATCATCAGTATTAGAGCTGGGAGACTGCCATGATGAGTGCCAAGCCTAACAGATAAGAACCTGGAGAGACAGGACAAGAGCGTGGTAGAGTGCACATGTACCTGGGTTACTGGGCATGGATACCTCTGCTTGCATGTGCCCCGTATGGTGTCTGTGCACCTAGGCCTGTACGTCTTGCGTCTGACGAAGTGGGTATTCACCCACGAAAGCTTATGCTCCAATACACCTGATAGTCTTAAAGGTGCCACAGGACTCTCTGTTGCTTTTTACAGATCCAGACTAACACGGCTACCCCTCTGATACTAGGCCTGTACAGTATCTCTGGGTGTTTGTGGGAAGGACGATTTGATAACAAGATGGAGGTTGCAATACAGAACCAAGTGCAGAGTCTGGGGCATCACAGCTCCATGGACCTAGGTCTCTGTTGTCCTTCACTGGGACGTGCAAGCTGCAGTATCCGAAGGCTCAAACACACCCCAAAATCGCTGGGACAGCTCCCACCCCCAAGAGCAGCTCACTCGGTTCCCCATGTTTCTTTCCCCCCAGCTGCGTTTAAGTCGTTTATCAGAACCCTCCATCAAACCGCAAGCTGCACGTGACAAGCCCTGGGAGCTTCCTCCCCCCTCCCTGAGCAAGGCTCCTACGTTTCTAACCAAGCCTCGTCCCCATCTCTATGGTGATGCAAAAAGTCGTGTCCAACCCGAAGAGCCAAGAGCCTCTGTGACAGTCACGGATGTTTGTAGCTGGAGTCCTGCCCAGAGGAGAGACCTAACCCCAGCTGGGCAGTCACCAGTTACTCAAGTCTTTTGCAGTTCAGCATCAGCACGAGGAATTGCTCCATGAACACCCCTCCCCTGGCAGGGGGGGCAGGAAAACACTAGCAGGGACAGGAAACTAGGCCCTGTAGGTGGGGCATAAATCCTTTGGATATAAATTGTTCCCCTCCCTGCTCTCTATCTAACCCGGGACTGGTTAATGCGCAAGAGAATTTGTTCAAGTTGGAGTTGTTCAAGTTATAGAATCACAGAACCTATAAATAGACCTATCGATCACCAATTATATTTCCCTATAGCCCCTCTGCTATAGTAGATGTCAGGGCCGTGAAGGTCAGTTTCCCCTTGGAAAAGAAAATTACCCCTTAGTCTGGGTAGTTTCTTAGCTTGAATGGTTTTATTTACACTCTATACACCAGTCCTGGAACAGAAGTGGTCACAAACAGCATATGGGCAATCCCCTCTTTCTGACATCTC